AGGCAGGCAGGCAGGCAGGCAGGCAGGCAGGCAGGCAGGCAGGCAGGCAGGCAGGCAGGCAGGCAGGCATTTATTAAGTGTTCTGATTACCGTCATCCATGGAGAAGATTCTCAAGAATGCACGCAGTTGAGGACTGATAGGGTCATCTCCCCGTAAGACAGGGTAAGGATGTGCAGACCTGAAGAAATACAAAAACCCTTTCAGTCAAAACAAATCTAGTATTTTCGGATTTGCCGTTATTTACTATGTGAATAGAGTTTGTTCGGTATCTCCCCTGATTAGAAGGGTTTCTCTGGCTTCTCCGGTTTTCCCGTGAGTTAGCCATGCCCTGACTTAGATCAGCCCAGAGGTTGTTTCAGGGTTCAATCTGTGACTTAGCCATGCCCTGACTTAGATCAGCCCAGAGGTTGTTTCAGGGTTCAATCTTTGAGTTAGCCATGCCCTGACTTAGATCAGCTCAGAGGTTGTTTCAGGGTTTGATCTGTGAGTTAGCCATGCCCTGACTTAGATCAGCTCAGAGGTNTGAGTTAGCCATGCCCTGACTTAGATCAGCTCAGAGGTTGTTTCAGGGTTTGATCTGTGAGTTAGCCATGCCCTGACTTAGATCAGCTCAGAGGTTGTTTCAGGGTTCAATCTGTGAGTTTCAGATAAAGGTTTGAAGGCAAGCACCAGTACTTACGCATCCATCCCGACCATTGCCATGATCTGTGCCTTCATGGCGTACAGCCTGTCACTTCTGCTGACACCCAGATGAATGTTTACGAAGTCGTGTTCATTATCTGGGTAGACAAAGCCATTGTGAAACAACAAGTCCGCGTTGTTGCGTTTGCCGTAGAAGATGAAAATTTGATCGCCTTTTGCGAAGGGTCGAATAGCAAAACTCTTGCACGATTCATCCTTCGTGTCGAAGCCTGTTTCAATCTATAAAATGAAAAAAGTGTCACCACAATCGCTTTAGATATCTAGCAGAGGGAAGGTGGTGGTGTGGAGATTGCATATTGCATTCTAAATGATCAAGGAAGTCGTAGCTTGATTTTATTTAGGCTTTCTCACCGTTCCATTAGAGTGATTACACATATCCCACATGGGAATAAGCGCCTTGATGTTCTCAGTATCAGAGATGGGTACTTGATTCTGGCGGGTCATAACCGTAGATACAGCCCATCTAAATCGGCAAGCACATTTATAATCAGCAATCACAGTCAAACATTATTATAACTATAATAATATCATGATCACCTCGGGATCCATTGTCTCCAGAGGGACGTTTATCGCTTACATCCCCCTGGATGAATAGTTTGGAGGTTCATTTAGTCTAAATATAATAATAATTATTATATATAGTAGGTACTAGTTTGCCAGAACATTTAAATGAAGAGACCCTTTTTAAAACATAAACTGCACAAATTAAATTTATTGGCCTCGACAGAAATTAATGAGATACATTAGAGCGCAACTCGTTTCTATCAATGTTCTTTAATGATCCTTTCTCACCTGAAGTCATCGAAAGTAAAAGGATGTTTAAAAGCTTTTGATTCACTCTGAAAAAATGGTTGACAGGCAGGTTAGACAAGCTAGCACACACACACACGCACGCACACGCATGCAGGCAGGCAGGCAGGCACGCACGCACGCACGCACACAACATACTAGTTAACTAACATGCAAGTAAACATCAGGCAAATTGCCAACTTCATCTTATTGTTGAAATTTGTGTATTTTTAAGCAACGTAAAACTTTTCCTACCTTCAAAAAACCATCAGAAAGGGGTGGATGGAAAGGGTGTTTTGGCCAAAAAGCACGGGAAATCCTTACCAACCTTCAATCAAAAGTGCCCCACAATATCCCATGATACATCATAACGAGAGGGCCTGGTGTGAACATCATAACATATAAAGGTTGTTAGAGAATATGACTTGACAAAGGACAATACCTGGAAAAGCTTGTAAAAGTAAGCATACTGTTTTGCTATGCTTCTGTATGGTTTAAGAGCATCACCTGTTAAGGAATGCGAAAAAAATGTAAAAATTAACACAATTTATCTTACCTTTATTCCAGTGAGTGATTCAAAACTTTGCACTAATTTGCACAATTTTGTTAGTTAACTTTTTCACAGATTTATGGTATGCACTCTAATGTAAAATGTAACTTCGTTTTAATTTATGCTAATTAATGTTAATTTATGTTAACATTAGAAAGTAAATTTATGATGTTAGGTTTGCTTACCAAGGGTAGGAGTTCCTTGTAAGGATTTCAAATCATCAGGTGTAAAGTACAACGATGTTGAATAAACACTTGGAAGAATATCTGTATGAGACTTGTGTCAAGGAAAGTATTTATTTAATAATCTACCCTGATTCCCTAACTCAAAGTCTAACCTAGCAAACTAACTAACCAATCAAAGCACCAAATCATATGACGCAGCTGACTGAGCGACTGCTTATTACATTCACCCACTCTGACTCACCCAAGCTGGGTGAAGGTAAATGATGTCGATGAAGATAATGGTTATGATGGTGGTGATGATACATGATGAGGATGATAGTGATGATGATGATGATG